TTCCTCCTCTTCCCCCCTCCTCTTCTCCATCCTCCCCTCCTTCTCCCTTTTCTTCCCCCTCCTGCTCCCCCCTCCTCCCACTCCTCCCTCCTTCCCCTCCTTCTCCTCCTGCTCCTCTGCCTCCTCCTTCTCCTCCGCTCCTCCCCCACCTCCTCAGCCTCCCCCTCCTCTTCTTCCCCTCCTTCCCCTCCTCCTCTCCTCTTTCTGTTCCTCCTCCTCCTCCTTGGAGAAACGCATATTATCTGGTTGTTAGTGGCTGGGCTTCGGCTGGGCTGAAGCTGGGAGCCAGTGAGGGGCAGAGCCAGGACCAGGGCGGGTCCCCTGGACTCCCTCCCTGCACTCATCCCCTCCACTTTGCTCTCCTCTTGCCTTCTGACTTGTGGTGTGGCCTGGGGCAGGCTACGTGAACTCTCTTGGGCATCCGTTTCCACATTTGTAAAATGGAGTCATAACGTTTACCTTGAAGCAGGGTGACTGACCGTCCTGACTTGCCCCAGACTGGGATAGGGGGTGGGGTGGGGGCGGATCCCCGGACTTTGGACTTTGAGGGCTAACAACAGGAAAATCCTGGGAAAGCCAGGATGACTTGGTCAACTACCTTGACGCATTACTGTGGGGGCTGCAGAAAATGCATGGAAGAGGCCTGGTGCACGGAAGTCACTTATGAAATGAAAGCTCTAGTTGTATTTTAATAAGTTCCTTTGTCTCTCTGAGTCTCATTTTCTGCTTAGGTCAGTTAAATGACCATCCGTTAAATTGTTTTGAAGCTCATGTGTGTGTCTCAGTTGGGGTGTTGAGGTGGCCTGTGCCCTGGTCTCCCCATTCCTTGCCCTTCCAAGAATGGCCAGAGGGCACCTGTGAACCCCCGAGTCAGGGCCCATCCCTCCTCGGTCCACAGCCCTTCAGGGCTCCCACCTCCCTCTGGGTAAACTCTCAAGTCCTCCTCGTGGCTCACAAGGCCCTGCACAATCTTCCCCTATCCCGTTCCTGCCCTCCCCTCCTCCCTCTCTCCCCTTCGCTTCCTCTGCTCCAGCCACACGGGCCTCCTCACTCTTCCTCCAACATGCCAGGCACAGTCCTGCCCCAGGGTCTTTGCACACGCAGTTCCTTCTGCCTGGAAAGCTCTTGCCCTACATATCACACGTGGCTCCCTCCCTCAACTTCTTTATGTTTTAGCTCATGTGTCGTCTTCTTAGTGACCTCTCTATTTTTGACATTGTATCCCTCACCCCCACATCTCCAGATTATCAGCTCTGTGAAGGTGGAGAATTTTGTGTGTCTTGTTCCGCCGCTGAATCCACAGTGCCTAGAATAGTGCCTGGTGTATAGTAGGTGTTTGTATTTGTCAGGGTTATTCAGAGAAACAGAACTAATAGGATGGATATCTATATATCTGTATACACACACACACACACACACACACACACATACGTAAAGATTCATTATAGAGGATTGGCTCACAATTATGGAGGCTGGCAAGTCTTAAGATCTGCGGGCTGAGACTGGAAGGAATTTGGAGAACTGAGTGAAAGTGAGCATGGCTGATGGGACAGGATAGGAGATGAGCTGGAGAGGTTGACAAGTGCCCAGTCAGACAGGACTGGGTTGCTATTCTGGTTTTAGGTGGATTTGAGTTGTGAGAAATTGAGTTGTGAGTAATGGGAAGCTCAGAGTTGAGAGACCACAAGTGGTAACATGCCGGAAGTCTGCAAAGAGAAATGTTGCCTTCGTAGCTCAAAGAGGAAGCTGGAAATGAGAAGCAAGATGTTATCTGAGGCATCATGCAGGGAAGGGAAATAAGCAAGGCACACTGTAGGGAGCAAAGAGCCTGGGTCTCAAGACCCTAATAATGATAATCCATCTCTTACATTTTGTTTTTTTTTTTAAGATTTTATTTATTTATTTTTTTCCCTTAAAGCCCCAGTAGATAGTTGTATGTCATAGCTGCACATCCTTCTAGCTGCTGTATGTGGGACGCGGCCTCAGCATGGCTGGAGAAGTGGTGCGTCGGTGTGCGCCCGGGATCCGAACCCGGGCCGCCAGCAGTGGAGCGTGCACACTTAACTGCTAAGCCACGGGGCTGGCCCTATCTCTTACATTTTCGTGGCACTTTATAAAGAGTTTTCCTATGATGTCCTATCCTACCAATTGATGCTGGCATTCTCGCTGTGCCCCTCTCTTTATTTCACGCCCCACATCCCATCCACTGGCAAATCCTGTTAACGTTACCTTCAAAATAAATCCAGAATCCTAGCTTTCCATAGCTCCCACCTGGGTTGTGTCCACCATCATCGCTCGCCTCGACAAGTGTGGTCACCTCCTCCCTGGTCATCCGGCCTCTGTCCCTCTACAGTGCATCTTCCAACCAACGGCCAGAAGGATCATGTTAAAGTCATGCTCTGTCCTTCCTCTGCTCAAAACTCTCCCATGCTCCCCTCTTGCTCTGATAAAATGCTGAAGTTTTACAGTGGTCCAGCAGATCCTGCATGATTTGGCTATGTCACCTCCTCCCACTCTCCCTTTATCTACTGTACTCCAATGACACCGGCCTCCTCGTAGTTCCCCAAAGTCACAAAGTGTGGTCCTGCCAATGGGCCTTTGCACTTGCTGTTTCCTCTGCTTTAAATAGCTTCATAACTCACTCACCTCCTTCAGATCTTTGCTCAAATGTTACCTTCTCAGTGAGGTCTTTATCATTGAGCACCGACTATGCACCAGGCACTATTCTATGCACTTGGGATGCAGTAGTAAGTAAGAGGATCACACATCTCTTCTGCAGGCTCACAGTCCGTCAGGGAGACAAACTGGAAACAACCAATTACAAAAGTTTTTATGTAGAATTATCTTAGAAATTGCCTGAAAATTTACTCCATTTCCAGCCAGACCTACCTCTTGTCATGTAGAAGTAATGGAAATCATGCACTTAGGGTTTTCACTGGCCTGATGCTGCCATTCACCAGCTGTGTGCCCTTGGGCAAGTTACTTAACCTCTCTGAGCCTCAGTTTTCCACATTCATATAATGGAAGTTGTATTAGTTTCCTATTGCTGCTGTAACAAGTCACTGAAAACTTGGTGGCTTGAAACAACAGAAGCGTATTCTTATAGTTCTGGAGGTCAGAAGTTTGAAATGGGTCCCACTGGGCTAAAATCCAGGTGTCAGCAGTGCTGCATTCCTTGCTGGAAGTTCTTGGGGAGAATCTGTTTTCTTGCCTTTTCTGGCTTCTAGAAGCCAACTGTATCCCTTTACTCGTGTCCCTCTTCTTCCATCTCCAGAACCAACAGGGGATGGTCAAGTTTTTCTCACATCGCTTCACTCTGACTCTGCCTCTCCTGGTTTCATCTTTCTCTTATGAAGATGCTTGTGATTATGTTGGTCCCACCTGGATAACCCAGGCTAATCTCTCCATCTCAGGGTCAGCTGATTAACGGTCTTAATTCCATCTGCAACCTTAATTTCCCTGTGCCATGTAGCATAGCATATTTGCAGGTTCCAGGGATTTGGACATGGTCATCTTTGGGGGGTCCATTATTCTGCCAAACACAGAAATGATAGTGTCAAGTGAGTCCCTTCCCTAGCACCTGGAAGCCTGCCCCCACCTGTGGCTTTGTCCTCCTGGAACTCACAGTGTGGTAGAGGAGATGATCACTAAAAAGCTAACCACTCAAATAATCCAGCAACTATAATTTTGATAAGTTCCATAAACAGGGAGCACAGGGAGCTATGGGGGAGTCAGGGAAGGCTTCTTGGAGGAAGTGACGTTTAAGCAAGAACTGGAGAATGAATAGGAGCTGGCCAGGCAAAGCAGAGGAAAACAGAACAGCATGTGTAAAGGCCCTGTGGTGAGGAGGCTAGAAATGGAGAGTGAAGAGAGATGTGGTTCGGTCTGGTCACTGGGGACTTTCCAGGTCATATTAAGTAACTTGCATTTTCATTCTGAGTGCAACAGGGAGTGTTGTAGGCAGGGGTGGGGGTGGGTGATCAGATTGCATTCAGAGATGATTGCAGGGAACAGTGGAGGGTGTAGGGGCTGTAGGGGATGTAGGGGATGCAGCATGCAGAGGAAGATCTGTACCAAGCATAGCCATGGAAATGGAGAGATGTGGGTAGATGTTGAATATTTGGGAGGAAGAATCAATGGGGCTTGGGAACTCACTGGACGTGAGTTGAGGGCCAAAGAAGTAAACGGAGGTACAGAGATGTGAACTCCACTTGTCCCAGGGCTGGGGTGGCTAGGATGTAGTTTTGACTGTTTCCATAGAAACCAAATGACAACAACTTAAAATGTTTATTTCTTAGAAGTTTATTCTTCACCCTCTCATAAATCTCCACTTTGCGGATGGAACCAGGTGACAGGGCTACCTCGTCTGAGATCATCTCAGCTCCCCGGTGCCTTCCATTTTGTTGTTTC